ATTGAGTAATATGGAGGCATCATTGTTTTTTGCATCTGAGAAATAGGGCCCGTGAATATCAAAAATGTATCCGTCAGGTGCAGTCATCATAATCGGTTTTACTCAATGACGTCCTTTATGAACAGAGTAACTTTGTCTCAATTTCCTGATTTTTCAATATAACTATAAGTTCCATCAACTACTGAAATGCCCTTCAAACTATTTGGGTTTTCATTATACAATTCATTCGCAAACGGAGTCACATGCTCTTTGATGAACTGTTCACGAGTTATTGCTCGAAGACCAATATTTTACGGCACTAAACGCATCATCATAGATCTCCTCACTGCGCCAATCAAAATACTAATGCCCTGTCTACGGCCATAATTGAATAAAATCTTCAAAAGATTATCAGTAAGTCCATGGCGCATTTTACATAAAAATATAAACTTAGATTTTGTGGTCACCTCACGAAAGTTATTAGCTCCAACGACAGGAACGCAAGACTTATGTGAATTACTGAATTGAACTTTTGACATCGGAGTAAGGTAAGTAAAATTTTCATCAGTCAAATTTTATCAGGATTAAAAGAGTGTGAACGATTTTTTAGCGCCAATTTTCTTAATTGTGTAAAAAATCTACTGATTTCTATTCCAGGCAAAACAATAGATCGATTTAAATGGCTTAAGCCATCATAAAAGTTCCTTAAGTCCTTTTTCATCGAGGTGCTGTGAACAGATCCGAGATGCTTGAGAGACGTGAATGTTACTCTCCAAATATATTTCAACTCGAGCCTCAATACTGAGCCTGTGCAAATGTATGCTCAGGTGATTACATATCATACATGTTTCAGAGGATTTTTGTCTTAGGGCATTCAACCTAAGGCTTTCGGGATGTTGCAAGTCCGCGTCGTCCGTGTAAATAATAAATCACAGTTAAAGAAAACACGTGATATATCGTTTATCACAAAAGAAGAGTGGTTCAGCTCCTCACTGTACATCATTACAATTTCCACTTTTGGATTGCTGAAGTTCTCACAGGGCGCAGGGTTCGAATAGCGAAAACTTACACACATAGCACGTCTTGCGCTGCGCCATGCTCGTTGCAATAGTATAAAATACAAACTACACACACAGCTCAAAATTAAAACTCTACACCTAATGCTAAATATAACAAAATTAAAACAGTACGAGCAATCAAACCAAAAAGGAAAATGGAAAACGAAAACAAAAAACGAGCGACTAAAAACTCAAAAAACTAAACAGAAAATGGTTGCGCAGTACTCAGTAAAGGTCTGTTTGTAGACTGCAACAAGTAACGAATAATCTAAAAAGTCCTCTCACAATGACGTGTTTGGTCAATGTGCGCATGTAGCAGTCTTCCTTATATAGAAAAATACACAAGGAGCTGTCACCGTCATCGCTCTTGTTTAGTCGTAGTTGGGTAGCAGATATACAGGTTTGTCAACCCATCTGCTACTAAACTTCATCGAGTCCAATTCCTCCAACCCCAATGGAAACGGGATGTGGTTCCAATTGTATGGCCTCTTTGAGACATTTTTTCAGGATGACGCGATTTGATGAGATTTCAGAAATTCAGTCATATTAACCGAAACCGCTCTTCTAGATGGAGCAGATACCTGAGTAAAGCCGACACCCCATTACTCGAACTTGGATGGCCTATATCTTGGGACCCTTTGAGTTTTGGGGCCTGTACCCTTCAAGACATTTGTTCAGAATGCCGAGATATATAACAAATGAAAAATTTAGCCGCATTAGCCGAAACCACTCTTTCAATTGAAGCATATATTCGAGTATAACCAGTACACTGTACCGACTTGGACGCCCTATATCTTGGGACCCGTTGAGTTTTGGGGCTTCTGCCCATTATGGCATTTGTTCAAGACGCCGAGACACATAGCATGTAACAAATTCAGCGAAATTAACCGAAACCACTCTTTCATTTAAAGCAGATATTCGAGTAGTTCTGATTACTCCATTATACTGTCTCAGACGGCCTATATCTTGGGACCCGTTGAGGTTGTGGCCATTGAAACATTTGCTCAGGATGCTAAGACGCGTAACATATCAAAAATTTAGTGAAACTAACCGAAACCACTTTTCTCATAGGCGTGTTGCCGGGTCCTTTCCCAGACTATACATAACTATGGACATTTGATTAAGGAAGCAATGTGCGTGTGTACGTTATACCAAAATTTTTTGATGAATTATTTATAGAGTAAGCCATTTTTAAGGCAAATGGACTTTATTCCAATACGTATCCTAGATTACTATGTTTCAACAATGGCGTAACCAGTGTAATGATAACACTGTATCTGCTTCAACTAAACTTTTTTTTTTCAAAGCGACTCATTTTATCGATGTCAACAATGGGTAGATTTCTTTGTCAAAGGCTCTTGCTAACATAGAATCTCATTCTTAAGCCCTTACTTACAAACTAGCAAAATTGCATTGAGGCTATCCTATCCATGCGCCGTTAATAATTTTCTATCTGCTTGTGTCCTCTAGGAGTCTGTATCTCTTTGGGCAACATCTGGGATGCTTTGTATATTTTTAACAGTTAATAATCCGCTGCTTATTTTTGAGTAACTTTCAATTTTAGCAAAACATGTGTATGTATGTATGCAGGGTGACCCAGAAGTCGAAGTCAAACCGAAACTGGGTGATTCAACTTTACTGCCAACTTTTCTAGTTTAGAGGAAAGTGCTACTTTTTTCCAACCAAGTATTCCAAATTAAAACTACGCTCAGCTTTATCAGACTGTACTGGAAAAAATGTACTACGAGAGTTTTTCACCAGTTTCTACTTAAATGAGTTACCTAAATATTAGAATCATTTAGTTCCCCGATGCGTATTTTACTATGGGTGAGAGAGACATAAACTTTATTTTCAAATGGTCCAAAGTGTATCGACTTTGACAATTAGAAGTGTTTCAAATCTTTAAATAGGTATTCTATTATTTGAATGTTAATAACTATTAAACTTATGACAATTGTACAAAATGCCTTAATCAAACAACAATTATTAAAACGAACAAGGACACTTAAGGTTAAGTGTTTGCACAACAGTGGGCCTCAAAGGACTGCTGATGATGATGATTTACATTTGCAGCAAATGCTCAAATTGTTTTCCTTTAGCCGCAATACACGCTCGACATCGTCTTAAAAAGGATCGGGCTATTAAACGAGCGAATCTACGTTTATTAACAAATTCAACTGCTTCCGTTAGCTTTTGCCGTAGCTTAACTATATTTTCAATAGGCTTGAAATACACTTTTTCTTTTACAGTTCCCCAGTACAAAAAATCTAAAGGATTCAAATCAGGTGACTGGGCTGGCCACGGTATTGTACCAGACCGCCCTATCCATCTGTTTGGAAAGCTTTCATCGAGATACTCCCTAACTGAGCGTGCATAGTGCGTTGGGCAGCCATCATGCTACAACCACATGTTCCTGTAGATACTGCGTGGCACGTTCTCCAATAAATTTTCTAAATGATTTTGCAAAAAATTTAAATAAATTTCAGCAGTCCAAGTCTCTGGAAAAATAAATAAAATTTCTGTCCAATGATTTATCTTGAAGCGATATTATGATTTATCCACTCTCATCAAATGTGGGTTTGCTACGTGCCTCTCGTATAACTTATGCAAGTTCATGTACCCATCTTTCTTAATTGTCGTCTCATTCGACCATACATTTTTTTCAAACTGTGGATCATCCCTGTGTGACCCTGTCCATTATGTGACAAAAAGCAACTCAGAGCTCATAATCCCGGGGCAGAAGAGCTTGTATACGATGTTGTACGTGGTATGGATGGAACGCATTTTTTTGCAATACCTGTTCTTCATTCGATTGCACGCACCGAAGTACTCGGGTCTTCTCCGACAGCTCCTACCACAACGCCCTCATAACGAAGGGAAGATCCTCCCTCACGGTGTGATTGGTTTGGTAGTCGGCTCTCTGAGAACAGTAAGCGGTGCACATTTATGAACACTCGATGATCTCGATCACGAGCTGCATTCGGGTACCTCTCATGGTAACGTCTAGCTGCAGCATTGCATCTGCATTTCCCATAAATGAGGTGCTTGTTAGCATATTCTTGTATGGTGTACACGGACATAGCGGCACTGCACAATCGCAACAGTCCAGATAACGAATCAAAATGTAGTAAAAGTACGAAATCAGCACAAACGAATACGAAAAGATGCGCAGTAAACGAAGTACTGTTACGTACTGATCGGTGTCAAAGTGTGCAATAGCAAGTAACATATCATAGCGTCACTATCTGTCTCGCTCGCACTTCGTAAAATGGCTCTCTTTGTTTCACTCAAACTAGAATAAAATCCTTAGGTGATAAAATGATTCTAATATTTATTGAACTCATTTAAGTAAAAACTGATTTAAAACTGGGTTTTTCTTTAAATAAAAATTGTGCACAATTTAACAAATAGTCTTCTAAGTGTCATACCATTTTGGAATCCTTATTAAATGCGCCATCGTTGAAGGTTACTTGCCCAACTCTCGTAGTACATTTTGTCCAGTACAGTCAATTAAAGCTGAGCGTAGTTTCAATTTGGAATACTTGGTTGGAAAAAAATGGCAATTTCCTCTGATCGAGAAATAGTTGGCTGTAAAGTTGAGACACCAGTTTAAAGATGCACTATTCGTCATTACACTGTTAAAATCAAATTCAAAAAATCAAGTTTACCGGCTACAAGAGAAGCCTAGTTATCGCAAGTGTATTTTTCCCGCAGGTGCTACAAATCTACCATTTTACAAATATAGTATTTCGCATCCACATCGCATCGCACCTCTACAGAGATTCCTTGGTCCTACAAACCGGTGTGAAGTTGGCAGACAAAATGTAAATTAAATATTGTTTTTCGTGTCCTATACGTATTAATTCTAGAGAATAGAAATTGATACCATATTCTAACAGTTGTAAATGCAAAATGATTGGGTACCCAAAGTAAAATACCCCGCAACAGATAAACAGATACTTTATTTACATACAGCATTCGATTAGTTACAATTACAGTTACAATTCATGACTTATAAATAAGCGTTACAAAAGCGTGTCTTTTGAACTTCAATGTTGTGTGGCTTCCTCAGCTCATAAGCCCACAGGTTACTAGGGACAGGAAACTCCTACAATTTGATACGTAAACATGCGAACGGGGAAAAGAGATATGCGAAACACTTTTACAGAAGACATGCAAAAACAGTGTTATCAGTGTCAGGATATGAAATCATGTACAGAGTGTTTCAGAATGACGTTCCAATATTTCCATGCTAGAAAGTTTGTCCAAACATAACAAAAAAGCTCGAATAAATATGAGTCCAAAAATGATTCCCTAACGAGATACAAGGTAATGAAGTTTTGTTAATGAAATTTAAAAAAACGGAGCCTGTAAAGATGGTAAAGCTTCTACGCTACTGATTGAGGATAAGACACGCATACTATTCATTCAATGTTGTATCGAGGTGCCATAGCTTTGTTCACATCCCATATGGTGTTTCCAAAATCAATCTTCAGGGTTTCTTCAGAATAGCGGAGGCTAAACCTTTTCATAAGAATATTTTAGGATTTCACCTCAAATGTTCAAACCAAATATCTCCAAAGCCGGTGATTTTTCAAAAATTCTTTAAGTGACAAAATTTATGAAATATAGTGTAGTATTCAATAACATTTCTCCGAACAGGCCAGTGGCGTAGAAAATATTTTCTACTAGGGGTCTAGGTACTCTATGTCCCTGGTTTAGTTTGGACCAGAAAACTCTGCATTTAGTGCTTACGATGTGCTCACTAAACAGTTAAAATCTTAACTCAGTAACTTTATCCGCTCCATAGATGTCAGTTTTTCAATTTCGTGAATAAAACTTCATCACTCTGTATCTCGGTAAGGGAGCATCTTTGGACTCATACTTATAATAACCTTTTTTCTTTCTATCCTAGAAATATCGGCACGTCTTTCTGAAACACCCTGTATATTGGCGTTTTCTGGTTATGTATCCAAACAATGTAAACTTCAAGAGAATAAAATATTGTATCTCAAAAACTTTGCACTGTTTGGAGCGTCACAATAGAAGGTATAACACAATAAATGCTTACTGCTTGGGCTTCTTATCATTCTTCACATTATGGTGTTGTTTGCTGTCCAGTTTCTCCTGAAAAAATTAACGATTAATCAATCACTTAAGCACTTCTGCTGCACATTCTGCGCTGTTGTACGTACAGGTAAAGCAATTTTAAAACTGGACAGCTAATAATATGAGTAGTATAAGGAGAATTTTTCTTTTGTACAGCAAGAAGGAGTGAGGAGATCACTGCTGCTGCCTGTTGTGCCAACTCTTATATATCCCGACCCATACGTAGAAAATACAGTAAGGCCCCTTTGCCTTCTGTATAAGCTGAAAAACAGTTCCCCTCTAAGTTCAGAAGATATTGTCCGCCATCATAGAATAGACAGCTAGTATCTCTCCGTCTATCAGTAGCGGCGTACTATGAAAAGATTGCACAAACAGTAAGAAGGTAAAAGGCAGGAATAAATCCCCAGTTTTATTGAACATCCGACATATTTGTATTAGCCCGCTAATGCCAGTTATTACTAGCTTATCAAGACAATAGCGCTTCATTAAATACGGAAGTGAATCCACGAGACAACGGCGTGATAAGTTTCAATAGTTGAAATGAGTGAATAATTAGAGTAATATCCACCGAAACCTAAGGCTTGAACGTGAACACAAAAAATACATTTATCATTATTATCCAGTAACATTACCGTACCTCCGCGACTTCACCTATTTTGAAAGCCTTCAAATAATTCATGGCTTCGCTAGAATGCCCGATGTTAAAAAAATGTTTGGTAGCATCTTTTCCTGCATGTTCTTCTATTATATCTCTGCCACCAGGATGCTGTAAATAAAACAAGTGATTATCTGCGTTGAGTGCGAGGGTTGAATTATTTTTATCATTTTAAGTCATAAGGGCAAATTATTATTATCAAATAACCGATGTATTAGTGTAGGTATGTAAGTTTCAATCATCGTGTTAAGTATTTACAAAAACAAAAATTAGACATTGCATCCCACCTCAGTCGTTTCTGAAATATAGTGAAAGTTTGAACTATTTATGTAACTTTCGTTTTTTACTTCAAACATCTATTACTTCCCATGCCTACTGGCGGGGCATATACCCCATAAGTTAAGTTGTCTGTTTTGTGTAAGATGTTATGTCGTTTTTGAGAAAGAACCTTGCACCACACTTATAGAAATAGTAGTTTCGCATAATTTCTTCCTATATGTTAGATGTTTTAGAGTCCTGAACAAACTCCGAAACTCAACCGGTCCCAAGATATGGTCCGTCTAAGCCAATGTAAAGGAAGTATCTGCTCTATTCGGAAGAGCAGTTTTAAATTCAGTTAAATTAACCAAAAGAACTCTTCCTGATAGAGCTGATAGATGAATAGAAGCGATATCTGTTTATACTGATCTAGATGAGCCATATCTTAAGACGTGTTTATTTTATTTTCTTAATCTTATTTATCGTAATCAATCACATTCATTCAAGTTTAATAGGAATATTCTAAAATAATAATCATTGCAGTAGAAGTCGTGAATGCTTAACGCCAATGTAGCATCAAAGTAACGCTATTGCCGGTATAATTAAGTTTAGGTAATAATATGTGACTATTAACAGCTTTTTAGTTTATACCACTAATTTACAAGCTTTTTTTAAGCCCACTTTGAAAGTGTTGCTGGTTTCGGTGGACCCCGTTACATTTCGACCATGTTCCGAAAGCTTGCCAAAAAGTTTGCAAATTAGATCTAACGATGCAAATTTTCAGAGTGATAAAAGTAAAAATAAAAATATTTTCTTATATCGTATTTATTAAACATGATTATGAACTTAATAGTAATAAAATTAAAAACTAATAACGTAAAATGAACAATACAAATCTACAATGCAAAAATAGTATAATAAATTAGAGTTTCAATGCTAGGGATGTTCTTGAAGGATTGGCAGCAAATTTGGTTTCAGTTTTGTAAGGAAATGCGCAAATCTGCAATACTCAATCTCCTCCTTTTTCTATGAATAGGTCTGTAACAGCACTAAGAACAGTAAAGAGACAAACGCTATCAAAAGCTTTCTCGCGATTTTCCGGTGCCAAGGATATTTTTCGGGTATCTGTCTGCTGCCAAAGTAATTGATAGCCTCTTTTAAATTTCACTTTCAGCACTTCAGTACTAACTTCAAGTAGATGGTCTTGTAATACCACATATGCCACGTTCATTTCATCAAATGACTTTATGATCCATAGTGGTGTTTGCATCAGAATACCAAATGCACCATGCAGAACATCTAAATATTGGATATATGTTTCTATATCTTCATCAAGATATTCTGATTGTAACAAGATTGGATACTGGAAGAATTCGCACCAACTAGTATTTTGATTCATAAATATTAATTTTTCAAGAAACACCGAAATTACTGTAACTGCAAGTTAATAAAATTAAATAGTTTAAACAATTATCTTACTCCTTTCTTTTAAAAATCCGGGAACACCTGAGCAACATTTGTACCCGACATTCTTGTTTATAGTTGACATGAATGAATTCATGCAACATTGGAAGCTCAGCAGGAGTCATGTTTGGGCACACGCGTTGCAGGGATGGGCGGTTATTGATAAAAAACCGGTTATAGGCTACCTGGTTATCATACCAATAACTTTAACCGGCATCGGTTAACCGAACCAAATTTAACCAGTTATATGGTTAACCATCAGCAATCCAACAGTGTCATTGGTCATGTTTACACCGTGGCTAGCCAAGCACCTAGATAACGCATAGCATACGGTGTAAAGGTGTACAGACTTATTTTTTGCGGTGTTTACATCAATGAACAAATTCATGGATTATCTGACAGTATACAGCACACAACAAATTCTTGCTAGAAACATTTTGAGTTTTTATATGTATTGTGATTTTGATTTTTATGCGAATCTTATAAGCATAAATCATAGTTGCCTACTGTATTTCGATACTTAAATTGAACAGTTGTTCAAAATGATGGAAAGAAATACAAGGTTAGCACCATGCAATTTGACGTCTAATTTAGTAAGATGAGAACAAATTCTAATTGCTTGAATAAACCTACGAAGAACTTCTTGGATTTGACGTCATGTTTTATACTATGGAAATTTGGCCAAGAACTCAATTGATCGAGAAATCCATGGATTTACTGTCAAGTTAAACTTACAACTTCCTTGATGAACCAATCCAAGTTATAGATAAATATAAATGCGGGAAACGTGAAGTTGGCATCTGTCAAACGTCAAACCTTGACATAAACCGTCTCATAAAAAGGTATTTTATAACTACAGAACATCTGTTAAAACCTAGAGCTATCCCAAAGCGGTTATGCGGGTTTTGGTATAGTTTTTTCAATACCCGAAGTGGTCGAAAACAAAAAAAACAACGTAGTTGTAATATTTACTGAGATTTGATTAGATAGAAAAAAAAGCTTCCTTTCGGTTATTGCATTTTTTCAACCAATAACTGGTTATGAAATAATTGGTTAAAACCGATTAATTAAGTTAGAAAAAGCGGTTATTCAATTAGCCGGTTATTTTCTCCTATCCCTAACGCGTTGCCGGCGGGTGGAGCGACGCGATGGTGGGTGAACTCTTTGCAAGTCTCGACACGCGTTGTACCGAATATCGAATATACTTTTACGAGGCACAGTTACTGCCTTTTCAAAATAGTATCTGCCTACAGTGAAAGATGACGCCAACTCAAAGCTTTTACTTCGAGAAAGTATTGTAATAATGTAATAAAATTTTTGAAAATGAGATTATGTTTTTTGGATCTTACAAATATGACATCACCAAAAAGCATGTCACTCATTTCCGTCGGTCTGTCTGTCGGTCTGACCGCCTATCCTATAGCCGCCTACAACTTGAGAGGTGGGTAATGCACGGATTTGGATGAATTTTTCACACAAGGTTACTACTTTTCCATTGACGAAAAAGTTTTCGAAAGTCGGTCCAGTGGCGGAACTGGGGGCAAAAACACGAAAAAATATAAAAATCGCTCAAAATTCGTTTCAGATGCTCCTAGTCATCTTTAGAATTTTTTTCTACGGATTGAAAGTTGGAGGTTGGGAGCATTAGAGGTAGAGGAAAGTATATATTATTTTGTTGGCGGCAGTATATGAGTATTTCTCAACAAATTTAGAAATTTCATTTTGCATTTCTTAAATAAAATAATGAAAATATGTCCTGTTTTGTTGCAGAAATATAAAGTTTCAGATTAGTTAGGTTCATTTAAAATAAAGGATCTCAATATTTTTGTGTATAATATGTAGAAAAATGACTTTTAAAAATCTATGAAATGAGGGGATGACTGATAGGATGGGGGGAATGATTTTTACAACAATTTGATGCTGAATTTCAATAAAAAACATAAGTTAATTCATTAATATCGTATTGAGACTTGTTTTATACTTCAGAGAGCTTAGATAGTCCTTCTTCCTTGGGCCCATCCTCGTATTTTCATCCTTCTCTAAGAAATGAACAACATCACCCTTAACTTTAAGCATTTTGGAGCTAACTTTACGAGTACAATTCTTTTTGTACGTATCGTTTTTGAGATGTTTCGATCTATATAGCAATTTGAATCTTTTGTACTAATTGCAGCTGTAACATTTTGTAATATTTTTCCTTTTCTCCATGTTTACTTCCAAGATCTTCTTAGATATTCTTGAGGGCCGTTGACAGTGCTTCTCTGAAAATGAGTCTTTTTCACACAACGTCAAGAACTTGTATATTCTTTAAAAGAGAAGGCACTTTAGTTGCTGGAGAGTTTGGGTCAGTATTTTTAGTTGTCAATCTCAAACATGTCTTTTTATATTTTTCCTGCGTTCCTTACTTTATTTTCCAAACTTTTAATCTTCGCGTACAGAATAGTTCGCCGCTTGCGCATGCTACGTCTATTGAGAGCAGACAAACTCTCTGCTATGCGCTGTAAAGATGGTGCAGGACTTGGTGGGGACATATTTTAAATAGATTTTTTATATACATATTTATTGTTTAGCAATGAAAGCTTGACTATACAATCCATACTTATTACCAAAGATTTTAATCATATTCAATTTATAAGAATATGAACAGATTTGATTGTATATATTTTTTATTATTAATTTCAGACCCAGGGACGAGATGAGGGAATGACTTTTAGACTAATAAGTTAGTCGTATTTTTTCGTGTCAATATATTATCTAAATTTTTGCTTTTAATATTTTAGTGTAGATACTTATTGATATAATAAAAATGTTAAATTGATGATAAATCTATGCAACTTGACATCAATGGCTCAGGACATAAATTTCGAAATTTGCTTAGAAATACCCATATACGCTTCCAACCCCAGTAATTTTATGCACCTATCGGTAAATATTTCGCACATCAACGATTTCCCCATAGATTTGACCTTATACGAGTAACTTGGAGAAACATTTATGGACGACACGGCGACTTTTATAAGCCAAACCCTCCCACCTGAGAGCATCGCCGGCACGCCGGCAGGCATGTTATGGAAGTGCTTATGGCGTGTTTGACTGGAGTGGTTCAGCAGCGTTGCCAGGTGGTCGATGCTCAAGGCAGGGAAGAAACTGTCGATACCGTTATCAAATGGAGTATGTCCTAATTCTATATGGGCCTGTTTGGCTGACATGTCTGGTTTAATTTTTTGGTTATACATATTATAACTTGGGCTGAATATAATCCTTTATGAACTGATGACAACGTTGCGAGGCAAGTATAGAGTCAACCTACTTGACGCCATTATTTCCATTCTATCAAAGCGAAATAATTTTTCGTAAACCTCCACTCACATTTTGGGAACCCCCATTTTTTTGTTCATGCCAACGTAAGACCCTTGTTGGGTCTCCCCGTGGACCACTTTGGGAATCAGAGGCTTATATGGCCCATGTCAACAGTACTTGCGGCTTATATTTTACTCGTGTGTAGACTACACTTTCGTACTATTACTTGTATCTGTTTTGATCTCTGTACACACTTAAGTGTATTGAAAAAAATAAATAATGAATAATAAAATAAATATACGAGTATGAATATCAAGTTTTCTTCCAAAACTAATCTGAAGGATCGAGCATGGAAATACTTTCGTATGACTAAAATGTAAACACCATAGAAGTTGTTAGAAGACATATCGGTTCAATTCAAAAACTATAGTCACAGTAAATCCCTTCTAGAAATAAAAGTTCAGTCAAGAAACTAACAATTATCTAATATCTACCATATGTTTAAATTACCTTGTCTAAGTAGTCTGACACATCATACAAGCTACCCTTAATTACCAACCATACGGCTTTTTCGATTTTGCCATTGTGTCTGGAAACTTCTTCTAGCGAGAAATGTTGAGTTGTATTCGCCTCTTGAACCATTTGTTATATTTAGAAATATTACCATCACACTATCATCTATACTAATTTTGAAATAAAAATGAGATTATATATATATATATATGTATATATATGTATGTGTATATATATATCAAATTCCAGAGAGACAACCGAATTAAACGATTCGTAGAAAACAATTATTGAATCTCGTAATCTCGTCCTTATCTGGAATTTCCTCAGCTAATAAACGAACCTAAACATATGTTATCTTAAACATCTGTAAACGATAAACAGAAGGACAACTCGCATATCCACATTTATCTTATAAATAAAGGCGTGCAATAACTATTTTTAGAAATTTAAAAAGAAGCAGTGGCACAATGTATGATGCTTGCCAATTAAGGAGAAATCAAGCGATTCGTGTCGCACAAAAATGTCAATCAATAATGTTCAACAATGAAGTCTGTCTCGCATCTTTCCTCTTCAATGTGCTTGCACCTTTAAGGAGGTGGTTGCATTTGATGACATGTTATAGAAACTTCTAAATGTTTTTCAGTGCAGGGCAACGGAATAAATTTATTATCTCGATCAGAAAAATGTTTGGTGGAATTTCCACAAACCATATCTGCATGTTTGATATCTTTCGTTCTATTTGCATGTAATTTATATAGAGTATTCCATGACGATTTGACAATTCATATGGATATAGAAAATACAAGGATTGCTTTTTTGGAACATTCAAGCGAACATTGCGCGATATGCTTTTTAATAATTTAGTCGTTTGCAATACTTGAAAGCAACACTTGAAATAGTATATGACATATAGTCAAGAATAGTTTTATCGAATAGGTAGATGGATATGTACCTACCTAGTTCGTTCTATAATAATTTGTGTGCCATTTTTGCATAGGCTTTTAACCCTGATTTCAAATATTTTATAATAATGTTTCCTGAGTAACATGTTGAGCACTAACATAAAAGTTTAAGCGCCTAACTTCGTATAATAAGCTTAAGCTTATCGAATGAGAAACAAAATAATGTAACTCACTTATTTTATTTAACGGCAATGATGAAGACATTGAAAACGGTATGATTATAAAAAACTGAAAGCTGAAACGACAGATCGGAATTCTAATGATGCCAGCGTGTAGAAGAAAAAAATGGTGTTGTTATTATGTAATTTGTTTGGAATTTGTAGACAATGTGGATGTTTTTAAAAGTTTTGTCTCGAACTGAAATCAAGAAAAAATAAAAACGACATAGAGTAAACTCGGAATCACTTTGAATTTCCAAGTCCTTTCCTTTTTTTATTTGATTAAGCAACTTGCCCCCATAAAGTACTCAGCGTCGTTTAGGCGAATGTCACACGATCATTATTTACTGTGAGCCGTCAATATGCATATTTATCATAAGATGTGATTTATACACTGAGAACCAAACTTGTCTGACGGCTTGACTTCAATGAGCACGAGAGACAAGTGTGTATAGACACATACGTTAGAAAGAGATAGAAGCCGACTTGATAGCGAAGCTCATCACCGCGTTGCCTAGCAACGCTGACGCTACAACCTGCCGCGCTGCCAATATGTTACAAAAAATTCCTTTAACTAAGATGCATGTTAAAAATATGTGTTAGCGAATTCTCTCCGCCAAATAATGGCTTAATTTTGACTTGTGAGTTATGTCAAATAGGGTCGATTCCGGATCGGTCCTAATGGCGCTCCAATTATTTAGGTCGATCGCTACAAATTCTACAACACTGCATTATTGGTTCGCTTGGCAACACCGCATCTCGTACATTCCAAGGCAAGGATTCAACAACGGGGACTCATGTGGGAGAATGGAAAACAGTGCGGTGTAGCCGGACACAACCTAACAACACTGTTGACATCCAGAAAAAATGGCGGCTTTGACAAGTATGACGGTTTATTGCTGTCATTTTTATTGGTGCTTGTGTCTGGCTGGGAGCATACTGGTCCTTGAAATAAAGGTTTGGTGGTAAAGAGATTCTATATTGGAAGGGTGTATTTGTTAGAACATTACGACTATCGAGGATTTCTACTTCATTCAGCAGTCACATATGTGAAGCGCTATGAAATATTCAAGAAGCAGAGTTAACAGCAACCCATGGTGATCAGATATATATCGAATATAGACTACTTGCTACTGTTTTCTCTCTAGAGCATATATATCCACAATTGAGTGCTTCAGGACCATGGCTGTTTCACAATCGTAGATAATGTAAGTTTATGTCAAATTGAGTGATTTGTAGAACTTATCTGTTAAATTGGTATTCACCATAAAGGGTTTTGTTACTTCTTTAAGTATTTATAGCTTAAAAGGAAGCTGAAGTCAGATATCCTGATAATACATAGTCAACATGTTTGAATCATATAAAATCTTATACGAATTATGATACAGGTATTTTAACGATACTGTAAAAATTCCTAAATTAAATATATAATCATATTTTCCATAAAACTTTTACATTCTGATTATCAATGTTATGGAATTCTGATTATATTACTGTATTATAATTCTCATGAAAAATCTCGTAACTCTAGTAAACTTGCAATCGTAAAGTATTATTTTTTTTTCATTACCAATTCTAATAATTTTTCCATGCAGGTGCTGCAGAAGACCATCACCAGGAATCACCTAATAATATTTGTACCATAAATATTATTGATAGGACGATAAATAATATTGATATGTTCAAACAATATAAAATTTATATAAAAATATATTCTCAAGTATAGATTTTTTACTGTTCTCAAATTTTCATTCATGTCATTATTGACGCTGCTGCTTTAACAAATCAGTGACTACTTATTTGTCAAATCAGCAAAAATAGGTTAATAACAATTAGTTTCCATACTTCGTTTTAAATCAGCTATTTTCAGCAGCAGGGTTCATATGCAAAACTCACTATAGTTGCAATGAAATCGAAGCCACATGTTGTTGTTGAACAATAACATGAGTGCCCACAGGGAGGAGTCAGAGGGGCCATGGTCTCTTCTGGGAATCCGCTTTGACTTTAAAGTTTGCATATTTAGCATGCTTTTGTGTACAACTTTGAGAATGTCTTAGGATTTGTCCCCTCGTGAGAAAATTGCTTCCTCTGCTCATCAAAAAACTTTGGGGGCAGGTACAATTTCACAAAAAGTTATGTCTTGATGATGATCAGGACCTCTGAGAAAAATTCCTGTGGGTACCCCTGGACCAAAATATTATTGTTCTAATAATAAAAGAAATCTGAAATTGTAGTAACACAATTCCGTTGTTTCCTAATTTTTTATTTATGCAGGTGACAACAAAGGCTGGGGAATGAAAACATCTGGACCATAATGATGTTAATACTGATTTTTTTGTAGAAAAATGTGTCAGATTTATATAATGAATATATATTTAGGTATTTGCAATACATATGTTTTTCTTTTGAACCTTTCCAGATTAGTAAGTAGAGTGATCTTATAATAGCTTGTGTTATTGACGTTGCTATTTTAACATACAAAAAAGCACTTTTTCGTCAAGATAGCGCAAAACGTTAATAACACATGCTGTTATAAGATCTCCCATATCGCATCCTCAAAAAATGGCCGCTGACATCCACACAAGTCACCATGTTGCCATTGAATAGCATGGAATTAAACCTTCTTCAGTGTATATGTTTTGTGGTACCCATCTTGCGCTCATTGAGAGGTGTCGTCGTGGTTTTCACCGCTGTCGAAAAATGTAACAATAACTCAGGATGTGTTGATTTTATCACCATCGGTGGAAATCAAAGATAATTCTAAAATAAATTAAGACACTAATGTCGGGTTCATGCACAACTTAACGTAACCTAATTTAAGGATCAACCGTTTCTACACCAGTGTCCTCCACATGTCACGCCACCAGAGGGTAACTAGCTAGTGATGTCCAGTGGTGGTCAAACGTTTTGGTGACGTCACACCCATTTTTTGACATGATTTAGGTGGTTTCGGAACTCGTCTTACCCTTGGATAGTCCTTTCCATACTGTTGTATGCACGTAATGACGTAATTATAATAATTCTGTGGTGTCTCGTTTTCCACGACGATTTTCGGACAAAGCCAGGCGGTGAATCAACTGTTGTTTTTGTTTGAGTTGTTGACGAATTTGCGGTAGAGATTTGTTTTGTGCGATTAATTGAGAATGGCCATGCCTAGAGCAAAAAAACGGGGCGGCTTGATAAAAAAAATCACAGATGTATGTTAAAAATTATAATAAATAAAGTCAGTGGTCATGTTTACTTCATCCCGTAACAAAGTGCTTGTAGTAGTAGTTTCAGCAAAAGATATCAGTATTGCTACAGCATAAAGTAGATCAAAAAACAGCATGAAAAAAATAAACATGGGTCCTAAATTGCCCCTTACCAAGATAGAGGATTTTGAAATTATATTCTAGAGAACGAACAAAAAATGGAAATGATCTTAAAATTTTGGGCTTGTAGTACTGACTTCATAGCTTTTTTTTTTTTTTTTTGGCGTTAGGACTAGGAGTCCATGCAGCCAGTCACTAGGTTTCTTACAAATATGTATTAACACATGACGCCACAACATCCATGGCTTCGGAATGTAATTTCCGAAGGCGAGATTCGAACTCGCGGCCCGGCCGGCCGGCTGATCAGTAGCACGACACTCTGACCCACCCGGCCAACCGAGGTCCAAAACTTCATAGCTGATAGATGTCTGAGTCTGTACCAGTAGTGATGTTGGCAAATTATAGCCCCTACAGAATAAAAAAGAGAATTTAAATCTATACCATGCCCCCCATGGCATGTTTTTCCAAAACCTCACAGAACACTGTGTAGGTACTTTGTCCTTAACTACGAACCAGGTGTACACCTGGCCAATGCTGTGTATTCGCAGCCCACCAAATATGTTATCTCTTTTGATGTTTATTGAGGTAAACCGATGAGTAGCACGTAACTTCTTTTTGTGACATCTGTACTGTTGGTAATAACAAATCCGGTAAATGGCCAAATTAAGGACTAGTGTTTGGTATCACCAATGAAAATTTGTTTACACACAGAATTTTGGTAATCAAATGTATACTGCTAGATTGGGAATTTATACATATGTACAAGGCAGTACTATGTTTCTGTTTAGTGTTTGCTGACCAAATATGACACTGATATTATGCTAATATTTTTTTTTGTTTCACAGTGTCAACATCCTTCGAGGAGATAGTTGGAATGAAGATCGTAATTTATTTTATGGACACCAAATTAATTGTCAATGACATCAGGAGTTTGTTTCCTAGTTTTACCTGTTTTTTTTTTGTTGAGGACAATTTTTTTACCTTCACCCATTAACAGTGTGTGCAAAATTGTTTTTGATTCACATATCAGAGAGATTATATTTGTATTCCAGTCAGTCCTCTAACTAGAGATGTATTTATTGTTATTTTAGTATTTATGTTTTCGCAATAAATATACATGATCAATTAACAAGAGATAGTACTTGCATGATATTGCAATGATCAGGTTCATAATATAGAGAAAAATCCAGATGTATTGTAATGAAGAATTCGTTCTATTATTGCTGGGACTGTTCAATAAATATTTTTTTAATTATTATACATTTTTTTTTATTATCCTGAAATTCATTACTAGCCAAACTGATGAAAGAAATACTTCCTTTATTGAGGATGTGTTATGCATCTACGATCATTGATCTGCCTCAATATCGGGAAGCTCATCAGTCAGATTTCGTAATGTAAACAAATGAAATCGCCGGCACACTCCTGACATTCCTGATATGTGTTGTCGGCATACTTTCAATATTTATAGTTCCACCAGATTTCCAGCCAAGAAAAGTGGCGCTGCAGGAAAATATTCGGTTTCGGACTTTTTGCATGTTATTCGAAAAAGCCTCCTAGTAACAAATCTACATGTTGTCAGGCCCTAAATCGCGTCTCTAATTGTTTGTACAACTTTTTCAAATAAATTCCAAAAATTAATGTTTTCGCTTCATCAAAGGTAGTATTCGTTTTTTTTATACTCCGAAACAAAACGATGTTTGACAATGTTTGTCAAAAGTTGATTTTGTACGAGGTGGGAAAGTACGAGGGATGTCTTTTAAGTTTTGCATATAGAAACATAGTAGGCCGCGCGGATCGAACGTCGGCACTGGCTTAACTTCACTCTTTAGTAAACTTAAATTCAAAGTTTCACAGCAATACGTGCAGTGTTCTCACTACAGTGAATTTTTAAGTGTCACCAAATCATTAGAAAAATGGAACTCAACCGAGAACATTTTCGCGCCATAATTTATTACAACTTTCAGAGACAATTATCGCAACAAGAATGCCTTGCTGAGTTACTGTCTGTTTTCGGCAACGAAGCGCCACATCAGTCGACAATTTTCGTTGGTATGGAGATCTCAAACGTGGCCGCGTGAGTCTTAGCGACGATTCCAGGGTGGCTGCACCAAAAACGCCAGTCACCCAGGAAAACGTCGATGCTGTGCGCAAACTCATCATTGAAGATAGACATGTGACATATCGCGAGATTGAGGCGTCTTTGAAGATCTCAAAGACATTTTACATGAAGAATTAGGAGTAAGAAAATTAGTTTCTCGTTGGATACCCCACCTGATGACTGAAGATCAGAAAGCAGCCAGGGTTGATTGGTGTCAAAAAACCCTTGACTGTTTCAATTCCGGAAACTCAAAAAATGTGTGGAAGCATTGTTAGTGGTGATCAATCGTGGATTTACTGTTATGAACCAGAAAATAAACGACAGTCGGCTGTTTGGGTGTTCCAAGGTGAAGAAAAGCCAACAAAAGTCATCCGTTCTCGAAGTGTTTCGAAAAAGATGGTCGCGACATTTGTGTCAAAAGCGGGTCATATTGCAACAATTCCTCTTAATGAGCAAAGAACTGTTACTGCGGATTGGTATACCACCATTTGTTTGCCAAAAGTCATCACCGAGCTTCGAAAAATCAACCCCGAAAGAAGAATCATCCTCCACCAAGACAATGCAAGCTCGCACACTGCCCAAAAATAAGGCAGTATTTAACGGAAGAAAATTTGGAATTATTGGACCATCCTCCACATAGTCCCGATCTAAGTCCTAACGATTTCTTTACTTTCCCGAAAATTAAAAACAGACTGCGTGGTCAAAGGTCCCAGTCACCAGAAGAAGCAGTTGACGCATTCAAAAATGCCGTTTTGGATCTGCCAGCAAACGAGTGGAATAAGTGCTTCGAAAATTGGTTCGAGCGCATGCAGATGTGTATTAATCTTCGAAAAACAATAAAGTCATTTAAAACTAACAACCGTGTTGTTTTATTTTCATATGCAAAACTTAAAAGACATCCCTCGTACAAAAAATTGCTTTTGCGATACCGAAAAATGATCTGAAAAACAAAAATGTTAATGTCGCGATGCTTCATAAATAACCATTAACACAATTGCGATACCTTTTAGGAGATACTGTTATTATAAATCTTTGTATTCAATTGTTATACAAGCGGACGCTCAATGAATATTCAGCGTGCACGAGAGATATTTCATCGCTCTCTGGCGTTCACATAGACATAGACTATACATTGAGCGCGCATTCAATTCACAATTACTATGCAAATATTTACAATAACTGTACTCCCTAAAATGCTCTGTGGGTTTTGTCATTGGTTGGTTGAAGCATGTGTGAGATTTGGCAACTTCAAAATATTAATTTATCATATTGTTTTTAGGGTAGCAAATGGCATATTTTGAGTTTTCGCATTGCTTATATATATCAAGTCTAGAGAAAAGTTCTAAAGCTCATTTTTTGTTCAGAATGTCCTAAAAACCGCAAAATACTTAAAACAAAGCGAACAGATCAATTTTTGGAATCGGTTTAATAACAATTTTTGGAGCAATTTTGGTCCTTGAATCAGATTATGCAAAAATCGGAATCGGAAGATTTTTCCGAGCAGATGTTTCGATATTATCTGGACTATTATCCGAGTTCTGTGACTGATTACCAGTGCATTGGCGCAAGCGTGTGGGGAGCGGCCACTTGTCAATGTCAAGGGTGGCCCGCCAGTCCACGTGACACAAAAGCCACAAAACACTCTTTCATCTGCTACCTTGACTTTAAACATATGATTTTATTAGTGTGTTTAATGTTGATATTGCCGCCATTGCTACAATGGCAATCCTGGCCGCGCATGCGCTTAAAATGCTCATTTTCTTAAGTTACGTTAAGTCTTGCATGAACCCACCATAAGTCGCATCAAAATTGAAATAAATAATTCTAGTCAAAATGAAAACAAAATGTTAAGTAAAATGTTCGAAGAGACCTCCTTCTTGGGTTTGACAGTAACCTAACTTATTGTAGAAGCCTGTGTGAACATTCTCTGGTATAACATATTCGCAATGCAGCATATTGCAGAACCTCCTGCGTCACCACCGCTAGGCAAAGCGGTGATGACCTTCGCATGTGTGTTGATACACACTCGCGCTTCTCTCTCATACACATTCAACTCAAGCCGTCAGACAAATTTGGCTTTCCTATATATGGTGACTGTGTAATCTGGACGCCAGTAATTACTGCTGCATAATGTTACGGACCACAGAAAATACTGATCGTGTGACATTCGTTTTACTGTTTCCGAGATTCCAAAAACGAGGGTCGAATATGAAACACACATACATATATATATATATATATAGTTCTTTTAGCAAAACTAAGTTTATATCTAACATAAGTTCCAACTAATCCTAGTAGTTTCTCATCTAATAGGTATATATTTATTCAACTTGTGGAGAACTCTGAATGAAAATTTTAATTTTTGTGAAAAATGTTTTCTCTAATGTTTGACTTGCCCCTCATGGGTACGCCCTTGATCGATCGTTTCATATTCTTGAAAAACTTCAGAAGTGGATCTTAGATTACAGCTGAGATAAGCAACTTCGAAAATTCCAAATGATTGGAGAGCAGATTTCCTGTCTATTAAAGAGTGTTATCGTTTTCAAGTTTGCTACATCTTCTTAACTCGTAACTTGTGAAGCGAGAATTGTGGTACCTAAGCATATCCACAACAGAGCATAATTCCTCTTGTGAGATGACCTGTGGTGGTATACCTATGGTAAAAGCCAAATCTTCAAGACAATTCTTTGACCTCATTCCATGGGACCACAGATGTGACCATGATATAATTACCAGAGCATTGCTAAGCACTTCCATCTCAGTCATGTCGCACATTAAAACACGTATTCTTAAATGGAGAATACATAAAACTTTTGATCTTGTTTTGATTTCAACAGAGAAAACTAAATCGATAGTGATATCAGCGGATCCGAGACGATGAAAACTGGTCGTAAATAACAAAATAATAGAACAAGTGATGGAAACGGAATACTTGGGAATCAAACTGTCAGGCTATGGAAAAGTGGAAGAAGTACAAAAACAAGTGAGTAGTACAACTATAGGCGTTCTGGACCACCTAAAATAGCATGTGAAATTGTACCGTAAAACTTATAGGCGTTCTCGACCACTACACGTTCTGGACCAAAGTACGTTCTAGACCAGTCACTCTAGACCAAATTACAAAAAAAAAAACCCCGTCGTTTTTCAACGCCTTTTTGCCACCATCCCCCTTAGTCGCGCGCGCGCGTGCGCATGCGCATGGGGCTCGTTCTGGCGAGCGTACTACTGGGGGTAGGTGAGGGGGTGTAGATAGCAGAGAATAAACGATACGCAACTACTGTGGGGGGGTAGGTGAGGGGGTGTAGATAGTAGAGAATAAACGATACGCTGTAAGGAGTTTATCTATCTTTATTTTGAGGTACGTTATGCATAAACAAAACATTGTACATCTTGTTTTGCTATTCTGGGAAACTTTTTCTTAAATTCTTCCACTGTATACTCTTGATCTCGATACTCTAGTTTTCCACCATGACCGACTAGCTTGTGCAGTCCATATCTACCGCAATGTAATAAGTTGTCTTTCATCGTCGTTATAGGATAATAATTTAAGTGATGTCCGATCACATACCCTATAGTTCGGTTGTCTTCGTTTTTAATCACTGTACCAAATGGCAAGCCACCTGGCGTTCCATCGTAATAGAACGTCAGTAGTACAACTATAGGCGTTCTGGACCACCTAAAATAGCATGTGAAATTGTACCGTAAAACTTATAGGCGTTCTCGACCACTACACGTTCTGGACCAAAGTACGTTCTAGACCAGTCACTCTAGACCAAATTACAAAAAAAAAAAACCCCGTCGTTTTTCAACGCCTTTTTGCCACCATCCCCCTTAGTCGCGCGCGCGCGTGCGCATGCGCATGGGGCTCGTTCTGGCGAGCGTACTACTGGGGGTAGGTGAGGGGGTGTAGATAGCAGAGAATAAACGATACGCTGTAAAAGGAGTTTATCTATCTTTATTTGTTTTTCTCACAGTTACACGTTGTTTTGAATTAATTGTTTTATATAATAATTCCCCTTTGTTATTATAATGTACCTGTATAGTTATGTTTTTTGTTGGTTGGTTTGGTAGGGCGACGCTTTTTCCCTTTTATTGCAATGGTAACTTTGTTTTTGTTGTATGTTTTTGGTGGTGGTGGTGGTGGTGGTGGTGGATGGTCCGGGTGCCGTTGATGCAGGTGCCTCCGGAGATGGAGTAGATTCTATTGATTCGGAGCAAATCAGAGAGTTGTCTTCTTCTTCTTCTGAAAGTATGTGATAATTGATGGACTCTGGACAAAAGCAGAAGTGTTTTTGACATTTTAGGCATTATGCTGTACCGTACTGTGACATTATAACAAATAATGAAAATAATCAAGCTACAACTATATATATATATAATTTGAATAGTGAGTATCGTTTGGTTTGTTTTTTTTTTTTTAGAAGGAAGAGATACATAGTGATAAATTCTTCAACTGAAAACTACTGGGCTATATTTTTCTGAAGAATATATAGGAAAACAAGCCTATGCATAAGCCATCTGACTCATCTCACGTTTTGTGGTAAATTATTGCATCTATAATTACTATTACTCATCGGTTTTTACCAATCTATATGCAATAATTTACCATAAAACGTGAGATGTGTCAGATGGCTTATGCATCTCTTCCTTCTAATAAAAAACAAACCAATCGATACTCACGTTTTGTGGTAAATTATTGCATATAGATTGGTAAAACCCGATGAATAATAGTAATTATAGAT